GGCCTATTCAATCATTTTAGAATTTCAGTTGACAAACCGAACTATCTTCTCTATTACTATTGCAATAGTATTCTGCGTGTGATTCATTTACAATTGTGGCACGAGTTACCATAATCTTTTGGTCTTCTTTCATCTAAATATCCTCTGTTACTTTTGTCAAAGTGCACTCAAGCTAGTTCAATTCCTTTAGAACCACGCTTTGATGGAATAAATTCTTCTTATTATCTCCTTTTCTACTGTTCATCTTACTCTAACATATTAAATGTTAGGTCTATCACTTCTACGGTAGTTAACTTCACGCTAAACTTTTCCTTGTCCATAACTTTACTCTCTTCTGCTATAGTCTGTCTGCTGTTTCCACTCTTCTCACACTATTTATATCTTTATCACTTAATCGTCTGTCCGCCTTTTTACCTCTCCATTCATATCTAGTCATTCACCTTTCATTGAGCAAAATCTGCAAGAATTGGCCAGAGTAGAGGATTTACTTGTTGTTCTCAGACTGCAATCATAGTCAACTGTCTTGTGGAAAATGCCATTTCTGTTTATAAAAAAATCAAAACTTAGGTTACCCATGAGATAAGAAAAGCATGTAAAAGTGCACCTACCAAAGAACACTCTACAAACACAAATGCTATGGTTGCAACACCAAAAGTTATAATTTTCCTATAATAAAAATGTATTTCAGATAGGTACTTACCCCTCTCACATATATATAGGTATTTTTGTTCAGTGCTGCCCTCTATAGGTAAACAAAAATTTTTGCATGCCACAAGCCTTGAAACTCCCACCCATCTGGAATTGACTAATTCCAATGCATCTCATGCAACACTGAACGATAATAGCTATTTATGTGAGAAGAGATAATGTACCGTATCAGAATATAGCCTTATTATCTTACTCTGTGCTATTCTAAGATGCACTGATAGCCTTACATAAAGAATTGTTATTAACTTCTGTTCAAAGTAAACTACCTAACAGATTAAATGTTAGTATTTAATGTGACCAAAATCTGAAGGAATTTTAGAGGAAACCTGAATAAGAGTGATGTAAACTATGTAAACAAATTGATATTCTTCCAGAGTGAATGCATTACTTGCATCACATCTGGTCATCCCACAAGTAAAATTAAGGATGATACATGTTGTAGGTATTCCTAAACCTTTACACAGTTGATCTCACAAGAAAACATGACAGGGTTGCCATACTCTAGTTCTGGAGTGGAAATGGACAGTTTTTTTAGCTGTGTTCTGCAACCAGAGTATAGCTAAGGCCAGGCTCATGAGTGCTTTGCAGCCTGGAGCTGAGGTTCTGAAGCTGCTCAACTCTTTCTTACTCTCCCTGAACACTTTGTGATGTATTTTGAATAACTTGAATTAACAAAGCAAATAAATATAATGGTATATACACTAAGCATTAAACTTCCCAAAAGTGTTTTTAGAATTCCTACAGGTATAATGTGCAAGGAGAATATAAGGCATAAATAAAAAATATTTCACCTGTTGAAAAAGCTGTTTATTTATATAAATTGATGGACAAAAACAAAAATCACAGTTCTAATATTCCAAACATATTAATGCATAAGTAGATAAATTATGTTACTTTAGTTACTACCTTACATAAATAATGTTATCCTAGTTTGCCATAGGATTCTGTTGTTCAGGAACTGAGGAAGGGCTGCTGGAGTCAGACTGAGGTTTAATCACTGAAGCCATTGTGGAGCCAAAGCCAGTAACCCCCAAACATTGCCAATCCTAAATCTTCCATAGTTCTAAAATATATATAGATCTTCACTGACACTTTCCACGTGAAGATTAGAAACACCAAAGAGAATAAACCAATAATTAGTAAATAGAGTACTAACAAGTTAACCAAATATTGTAAAATATAAAGCTTTAAAAGTGTGAGGTGAAATGTTTGCATGTCTAAACTAAAATGAATTGAAACACCTGATATGCTTCACATACCACATAATTAAAACAATAATAAACTTGGTGCAATTAATAAAATTAACTATTGAGAATGATCAATAGAGATAATGTTATTTAATTCACTTAAGATGATTTTGTATCAAGACTCTAAGGCGTATCAAGAATGCAAAATGAAATCTCGAAAATAAGAAAAGAATTTTCTGCTGTTAAAAGCAATATTTGATATTTCATGCATACATAATAAATTGAGGCTACATGTGTTGAAATGTTTGCACATGTATTCTACAGGTTTCATGTGTAACATCCAAATGTACCAATTTTCATTATTGTATATGCTGAGGTAAAGAAAACACATAAAGATATCTAATTCTACCATACACTACATATTCATAATGCAAAACAGAATTCACAAGTGATCAAGTTTTGCCAAAACAGATAGCGACAAATTGAACTGGTTTATAGAAATTAAAAGTTCAAAAAGAAATCACTTTTTGCAGGAAAAAATATTCCATCGTCACATGGTAGCACTAGCACAAAAACAATGTCTGAAATCGAATGCTGCCAAACGAGAAGTGAAGGTTCGATAGAGGAGTGTAGAGGGAGTCACAGGCGTCATGTGAGCATGTCAGGCTACTATTGGTTAAGAGATGACACATGATGATTTGTATGACAGACATGTCGGAACATGATATTTTCAACAAAGGGAAGTGCGCAAGGCTTGTGACATGCGTTCTGAAAATTTTGCATATAGAGGGCAGCACTGAACAAGAATGGCTAATCTTGAGAGAGGAGGTAAGTACAGTATCGTATGGCAAATTCATATCATGTATTTTACTTCTCATTGCATTTTTAATTAAACTTAGTGTTTAATTGTTGAACTGATTACGTTTTTACTTTTGCAGAAATATTTTCAGCCTTCAAGCCTACCATTTCCGTTTAGGTTTTGTATTTCTCATAGACTTCATCTGATAGTTTTTTAAAAAAATCTTCAGGCCAAGAGTCGACACAAAATATAATAGTATTATTAAATCAAAACATCTGTTGGTACAGAAGAGCTTGTAACATGTATTGTAAACAGTATGTATATACCATGCCTTTTTTATAGCAAAATACTAAGCAATCACATATAGCAACATACACAAAACAATCACATACTTGCAAATAGCTCAGCATACAGTAATAATATCTGATCAGCTTATATAAAAGCAATGTTTTAATAAGTAACCAAGAATATGCTATGTTGGTTGGTTGCCTGGTAATTACAACCCTTCTCTTATCCCATCCTAAAATCAGCATCTGAACAGGCAAATTTCCTATAAATATGTCACATTGATGGTGACTACTTAGAGAAAAATAAACAAAGCAGTGCTTACATGCAAATCTATGAGAAATCTAAAACAAAATTGGGGATGCTAGGCTTAAGGCTGAAAATATTTCTGCAACAGCAGTTGTACTTCTCATTGTGTTTTTTAAACTTAGTATATTACTATTGATAGTAATATACTAAGTTTAGAAAATACAATGAAAAGTACAATGCATAATATGAACTTCTATTCCAATCATTTAGTAAACAGTAAAAAGAAGATGAACAAATTGCATTGCCTCAGCTAACAATGCTGAAAGTTGAAATAAAAACAAACATCCTTTCTACAAATCCATATGAAAGTAATCTAGCAAATATTCATAAAATCCTAATGACACTAATCATGCTGCATACAAGGTTCAGAGAAAGGTTTCAAAGAAAATAATGGTGAAACTGTTATTATGAAGTGTCTGCCATAAGACACATTTGTTGTCAAAGGGCAACCACAGGCCCAGATCTTGTTTGTTTGTTGAATTTTGCACAAAGCTACTCAAGGACTATCTTTGCTAGTTGTCCCCAATTTATAGGGAAGGTAGCTAGTCAACATCACCCACTGCCAACTCTTGAGATTCTCTTTACTAACAAAAAGTAGGATTGACTGTCACATTATAACACCCCCATAGGTGAAAGAGCAAGCATGTTTTCTGACAGGATTCAAACCTGCAGACTGCAAGTTGAGCACTCTAACCATCAGTCCATGGCAGGTCCTACAGGCCCAGATCAATTACTTTTCATCAGTATTGGAATTACGTGATATATGATGACAGCCCTAAATTTCATCTGCCTTGCCTACTCAGATTTTAAAATGTTTATCACTACAGAAACTTGTTTTCAGCTTAATAAAATAATGTTTAATCAGACTAAAGGAATCTGTATAGGAAATTTTTTAGCCCAAATGCTTGCTAATATTTTTTATCAATTGTTTAAACAAAAGCATTTCTGGCTACGTAAACTGTTATGTTTTTTTTTATTATGTAGTGTACCTTCATAGAATTTATATATGAAAGATAATTGAAAAGGTTCTTCAGTTTAAGCTCTTATCATCCCTGCATCAAATTTATCAAAAATTAAAGAAACTAATGAATTGACCTATTTAAAAAAAAAAAAATGGGGGCATGGATTGGCCCTATAGTAGTGATGTGGATCTCAGAGCTGATAAGCCAGGTTTGAATCTGTTTGATACCACAAAATATTCTCCAAATTTTCATCTGTGGGAGTGCTATAAGACTGACAGTCAATCTTTTATCATTTGTGGTATGGTGCTACTGACTATTTGCTTTCCCTCTAATCATTAGTTTAAAATTAGGGACAACGGTAGACAGCGTTAGGAGCTTTACTGTAAATATGAACTTAAAAATATAAATGAAGCCTTTGAAACAAGCATCTACAGGAAAAAAAAAGATGCATATGAACTTGATAGACAGTAGGATTAAAAATAAATTTTGGGGAGGTCATATAAAAAACTTGCCCAACATAATGTGTATCTCCCAGAATTAGACAGACATTTCAGATTGTAAATTTTTCTTACTAAGTAACTAATAGCAATACTCAAAACAAGTTTCTTGCATTATTCCATATGTTCCTAGTTTATCTGAAGCAAAGAAGAATTTGGAAAGATCTACCCAAGAACTGTAGTTTTTTTATTTGTAAATTATTTTTCCCTTGTAAAACATTAGTTTTTCCATCAAGAACTTTGAATAAAATTATATATATACAAGAGATGTAGTCAACAAATAAGAATACTCTAATTATCGAGAATTTTGTAGAAAAGGAACAGGACAAAAGTTAGATGCTATGTCAGAAGTACATCTCCACCACATCTCAGATATGTAAATACTTCTGTTTGTTTGTTTGTAGTTTAAGCACAAAGTTACACAATGGGCTATCTGTGCTCTGCCCACCATGGGTATTGAAGTATGCAGACATATTGCTGTTCCACTGGGGAGTAAACACTTCTTGGTGAAATGCAGTGATACTCAAGTTTCTTCCTTTTTAACTTTGTTTTTATGTTTCATTATTTCTATTTATATGACAGGGTGTAATATATCAACTACTTAAAACATGTATTTATTGACACAAACATTGTAAATTGCAACAAACATTTATGATTTAGGCTTTCGTATAAAAAGTAGTTAAAAATATTATAATACAATAATGTGAAATAAACTTATGATATATACTAACTACCATTGCAATTTATTAAAATCACTGAATTTATACTTGTGATGTAATTGTACAGCCTTTGCTTATGAAGAAATACTATAATATGAACACACATAAATTACAATTATCAGTCTCATGACACCAAGATTACGTTTATCAGAAAAAATATATAAAAAATTAATTGATTTGAAGGCAACAGTACAAAAAGTGAAAAGTAAAGAAGAAAACTGGGTTTTTGAATAAACATTCCTACATGTAGAAATAAGTATCTACTTTTAAAAATAAACAAATCAATGGCAAACCAATAACTAAAAATGTTAGCTAGATTAATTTTTATATTGGACGTTATGAACAACATAAAGATGCAGTAGGTCAGTGTGACGCTTGATTTTAGGCTAAAGTATTTTGAGGTTAAACTAGGCTTAGCCACTAGTAAGAGGTCAACATATCGAAGGAGATAGAAATATGTCTGCTTTAGACTGCGTTTTATTATTACCTTATACTTTCCGAACTCTCTAATTTCGTTAATTTCCGTTCACTTGGAGAAATAAGAATATTCCAAACGTAGCACATCAAATTTAACTTTGCACATAGTAATAGTAAAAAAAGAACCAAATATCACGCGGTTGTATAATCATATAAACTAATAAAGTCTACAGTAGTCCTAGACCTAGAAATAGTTGCCGAGCAACAGAGAGAGTAATTAATAATAGTTTTGCTTTGGCAGCAGGCGGCGCTTGCGCTCCTTAGCTCTTCGTATTTCCATACGTTTACGTTTAGCTAAAACTATGGGAATAGATAGTGGTAGGAGGTGTTGTCACTAAGAGTAAGAGCGCCTTCTGTGCGAGAGATGCATATTCGAAATTGTGATAACTGTAAAAGACGCTCGAACAAACTTCAAGTATAGAAGACTAGCATTAGCAAATACTACACAACTTTTTCAAATTTTATCACGCTCACTCATGGCACTGATAACACTTGATCGTTACCAAGATTCTTCTCAATCTGAACCCTGCGATGACGATAAGACTGTAGAGGGGGTAAGTATAACTATAAAGGCATAGTGTTTACATCATACTTCTCTTGAAGTTGAAAGAACTTAATCGTTTGTTGTTATGATTAATAATTAAACAAAAGCTCAATGTACGATTGATAAGCTAATAAAGTAATCTTTAGCTACTTATGATACATAACACTAATTAGGTTAGTATTATAACTAGATTATAACGTTAATTTTAAGCTCTACTATAAGTTATATTATCTTAGTTCATTCTAACTTCTAAGTATTTTTTGTTCTTCATCATCATCCTTTATGTGAATATAATTACATTGCTATTACACATCACCTTAACATTTGTAACCAGTAAAATATAATCATAACTGCAGTTTATATACTTTTAAAGCTACAGTTTGAATTTCAACAACAGAATAGTTCTCTGTAAAGTTTAAGACATAAAGTGTGTTTAAATTTAATCATAACTATTATCATCATCAGCATATGCAAATAAAGGATATTTATTAGATAATTGTCACAGTGAAAATAAAAATAATTTGTGAGCAGTTGTGACAACTTTCCATAGAAGAAAGAACAATCACATCTGAGAAACTACTTGGATATTTATTGTAATGTGTTATTATAATGAATGTAACATATAAAGTTCTTATGTTGTTTAAATAAAAATTCAAGAATATCGAGGGAAAAAAATGTATCTCTGTGATGAAAAATGTCGCTGATTATCATGTAATTTTCAGGCTTTAAAAACTGATTATTTACTATGTAGCCAGTTTTGATAGATAAAAAATTGAAATATAGTAAATAATGACAGACTTGTTTTAAAAAGTTGAGTCATTACATTATATATTTTGAAGTAGACTTGCATACTGATATTTTAAAAGGTTAAATGAAACATAAATTCACAGTATATTTAAACAATAAAGTTTGCATGTGTGTTTGTGGAAAAGGTGTTGATTTTTTTGCAGAATAAAGTATAAAATTAATAACTAGTTTCATACTAAACATTCTTCAAACTTCAAGATTTTTGTTTAGGCATATTTTGACAATATCACAGTTGATCTTGAAGTTTGTGGAGCTTGTACTTAAAGCACACAATGCTCTATTATTTTATTGGTAATAATGTTCATTCACTAAAAATGTTAATTAATTAAAAGTGAGAATTAACAAAGAAATAACCAGTTAGTCACCTACCAGACAATATAAATGTAAGGTGTGTGGTATTGTAGTGTTCTTTAAGGGGCATGAAAAGCCCAATTGCCAATTACTTATTTGAAGTTTACTTCTGATTCATGTATTTTGATTGCTCTGCATTATGATTAATCCAAATATACAACTAAGCCTTGTATTATAAGCTGATAGAGTTTTAACTAGCCATTGTTAGTGTTTCTTGTTCTTTCAGGAATACCTTGAACTGAGGTTTTGAGTAATTCTTTGATATTTGTTCTCCTTTACTGCAACTACGAAAAGTGCATTTCAGTTTACTATAGCTCTTAATAGGGTGTTTAGAATAATTCATAGTTGTATTACTCTGTATTGTAAGTTTTCATGGCTTACTGAAACAATGAAATGAGTTTGTTCTCATTGAAGGGCCCTTTTCTGAAGACTTATTAAACTTAAAAAATGGCAAGTTGTATATATGAAGATATAAAAAGATGAAATGTAATAGGTGAGGAAAAAAAACGTTCATCTCAATAAGCATACCAACCTTTACACATAATATGTACAACAAAAGGTCAGTTAGGCCTTCTTAAAAAATAAAATATTACAAAACTTTTTTTATAAGTATAGAATTTTCAACGAAATCTTAAAACAGTCAACTTATGAGTTCAATAATTGTCTTCAAGTGATGTCACAAAAGTAACACCTAAAATGTGTGAAGTATATATACTTAAACCCTTCTGTGATTCGCTTGAGATAACTCCATGTTTCAAAAATATTTACCCAGATTTATCATTTTATCTTGTATTACAATAAGCTATCAAAAAGAGAAATAAAAAATGTGCTTTTTTGAGCTCATTTGTATAAAAATCTGATACAGAAGGGATTAAAAACAAGACTGCTTCATGATACATTTTAGATTGTATGATCTTATTACCTTTATTAGTTTTAAGATCTAGATGTATGTTTTAGGTTTACTTAAGATATATTCAGCATTAAACCTCAATGACATCTATATTGAGTAGTTTTTGTTCACATATTGATTGTTATTCAACACTAACAAAATATGTTAACTAGGTTTCTCTAGTGTATGACTAGAGCTGTTTTAGTCATTTTTGAAACTTTTCACAGTTCGGTAGCTAATGGCTAAAGAGTTTTAAATAAAATTGTTTAACATTGTTTATAATTGCATATTTTGTATTTATGTATATATATAAGCTGTTATTGAAGCACATTCATTAATTTTTAGCTGATAAGATCCTGTTTTTGTACGACTTAATATGCACTAATCATACACACCCACTGATTATTTTATATTTCTAGCTCTCAGTGTAGATCTCTTAGAATCAAAAGACTAAACACGAAGAACAAAACAGAAACGTATAAAACGTATAAACTAATGTACGGTCCTAATATATATACATATATATATGTATGTGTGTGTGTGTGTTCTGTTCGTGTTTACATCGTACATTACCTAATTTGACGATCTACGAGCCCATGTACTGGTGCTACGTAACTATAAAGTGTAAAGAAAGCGACCGTGTTTTCATGCCCTAGAATCCCTGTGACATTAAACTCGTTTCCCAAATTAGATGTGAAAGTAGGTTGACTGATAGATTCCATTCTCACCTACTAAGTTTTTAACGAGTTGTAACTAAGTTAACTGTATATCAGGAATCGACAGTGTTTAGAAATATACTATTCTCTCTTCCATAAATAATGAAGAGACTTAACAATCGTACATTTGAATCTGCGCAACACGATCGTCTTTTCGTCGAGAAATGTTGTACTAAAATAGTCAACATTGAGCGTAATGCTAAATTTGCTTTAACTGTTGCTGAGAGATGGCGCTACAGTTAAAAATTAAATACCTCTTTATTTCTGGACCTACATTTGTACATTGCTTTCATTATGATATCCATTTACAGCTAAGTATGAACATAGCTAATCACTAGCGAGTTTTAAATAAAGCTTGCGAGAGTTAGATATTGCATTTTGAGGTATAAGAGCGAGGTTTCTCTTCACATTTGTATTTATTTTACAAGCTTTCTGCCACAACTCTAGCAATCGTCTTCAGTTTTTATTTCATGAAGTCAGGTTTCTGAAATAGTGACACTGTAGTGCGCAATTATTATAGCTGTAAGTACCCCTTTCTTATAATATAAAACGAATATATCTACTGAAGAAAAATTTTAAGTTTTAGTACAGATGTGTGCTTAGACATTTTTCGTGAGCAAGAAGTAACCAACTGTGATAATTAAATGTGCTTTTACACTGTCGTTCATTGTCTGAGCTATTACAGTGTATCAAACTCTGTATGTGGCCAACACACACACAAAAGTTAATTACTTTGTCACAACGATTTGCGTAAATTGTGCACATGCAGAAGTAGACACATGCATATAAAAGTCTACCCCTCTTTTTTTGCTAATGTAAGTAGCCCCTCAAGGCCTCAACCATTACTATGTATATCGCATGATAGCTGCCCTGAAGAACTCTAGTATTAGGCTACAGGCCTTTTCGGCAGTGGATATAGTAGGTACACTACTTTCATTGAGAAGTTCATTTTAATGATTTGATAATGAGATTAGTTTCCTGATAAGAATGACATAGCCTTCTGGGTAGTACTAAAATATATGATAATGAAATTAGATTCGTATGGAGGATGACATAGCCTTCTAGGAAATATTGAAGGATTTGATAATAAGAGAAGTTTCCTGATGAGAATGATATAGCTAGGAGGTACAAGCGGATTTCAACATGACTATAGGTCAAATCAACACTAGTTCTTCATTTAGGTTTTTCGTAATGGTTGTCAGGTGTAGTCATGTTCTGAATGTTACTGTCATAAACCAGATGAGCTGGACAGTACCTCGAAGACGATTTTAAACTCGCAACTTGTTGGTTAATAAATTATTTTCATTATTTCCAAATAAAGCTATTGTATTATTTATTTATTTTTTGAATAAGTTTGGTTTAATAAAAATAATACCCTATTTAAGCCATAATTAGTTATTATTTTATAAACAAATATATTGTATAAACATGTAGCAAAATGTCTTTGTTTTTACAATAATAGATAATTGTGGTTTAAATGGTGTATTCCTTATATTAATTAAATACCACAAGATATATGAGTAAATCGATTGATTTTGATTTAAACTTTTCGTCATTTTGCTGAAAATATCTCCTTATTGTACTACTAGCTAATTTGCTTACTTGTTGTCCAAATGAACCACGGAGTTTGTGAATTAAATGAATAAAAGAGCAGCGTTGAACTAATGCTAAAAGAATTGCATTCTGCGGTTCGTTTGGCTTGGTTTAAGAGCAAGTTTGAATCAAATTCTTTAGATTTGGCGGTTTTCTGATTTATTCTTTTATTGTAATAAAGGATTAGTTTTGTAACATCACAGACTTAAATTTGGATTATAGTGTCATAAGTAATAAATTTTCATAGAGTACAGAACTGATCAGACATGTATAACAGATTTTATATATATTTAAAGGAAAATAA